CAGTCCCTTTCTCCTGAGAATACTCACCCCACCCCTGCTTACTATCTTTCTCCTGTTCATCCTGCTTCATTCAGTCCCTTTCTCCTGAGAATACTTACCCCACCCCCAAAATGATTTGTACTCAAATCCCTGTCTCAGACTCTGCTCCTAGGAAACCTGACCTAAGACATGTATCTTCAAGGGTCTTCCATCTCACAGGAATTTTCCAGAGCAAAGTGGTCATTCATGATCACATAGCATTTGGGTGCTGTGAGTTGTCACTGTTTTTAAAGGCTATAACAATTAGCCTTGCACCTATACATGTTATTTTTAAGATGTGGTATTTTAAAAATCCTTTTTTTTAATTGATTTTTGAAATTTTTCTGTCTGTGGTTTTTGCTTGTTGAACTTGAACCATCATTGAAGTCCAGGACAACATAGCAGTTCACCCTGCACAGCTGCGTGAGGAAACATGCTTTCTTCAGTTCTTAAATAAGACCATAGAGGAGAGTCATTAGTACCCTCCTCCCCATCCTGCTGTCACCAGGAGCCCACGCTTTCACCAAGAGAGTTCTTTGCCCCTTCAGAGTTGGCATAACTGAGGGGCTTCTGAGGCAGTTCGAGCAAGGCTGCTGCCTTTCCCACACCTATTGCATCACCTTCCTGGGATTCTGAGTGAACACAGTGCTTTCCCCAAAATAAAGCAGAAGGAAGGAGCTGCACAACACGACCACACACACGCTCTCATCATTCACACTTAAGGATTCACAGTGCACTTTATTCCCTTCAAGCATCACCACTAGAGGTACAAGGAATCAAATTAGCTATTCCTATTTATGTAGCTATCAGTCATGCCCATAAAACACTAAAAATGGGTAAGTGCATCTTTTGTTTTTCAAGTTTTCCACATCTGTAAAGTTGGTGGTGGTTCAGATCACCTTCCAGTGAATGCTATATGGGACCCCCCACATGACTCAGTTGTGTCCCCCGATTCCTGAGTACATTCTACCCAGATCTCTACTCTCCCTTCCCTTGGCTGGCACTGTGATGAGGATGGATCCTTGGGCCAACACGGATGAGTGACAGACCCAAATTTCCACAGGGATCCGAGCTCTAAGACTTCTTTCTATGTTCTCTCCATGTGTGAGTAGATAAAGGCAGTGGACAATGGGCGCCCACAGAAATCCTCCACGGCCCGCCTCCACATTGAATGGATTAAGAAACCACCCCCCTCACCTATACCGCTGACTTTTGATGAGCCGTTTTATAACTTCACAGTCATGGAAAGCGATAGAGTCACCGAGATTGTGGGGGTGGTGTCTGTGCAACCAGCCAACACCCCTCTGTGGTTTGACATAGTTGGTAAGTTTGAGTCCTCCAGAGCAGTACTGGGCAATGTAATCATTGACTGGAATAACTAACAAAATAAATAAATAATACAAAAAAAGAAAATACAAAAAATACAAAAAAAAATAAAAATAAAAAAACAAACCACTAACGATTAGTGCTAAGATGAAAAGATGTATAGTGCTGGAATGCAAAAGAGCCAGTAAAATGAATAATCGACCTGTGCTTTCGTTCCAACTCTGTAGCTAAGCTGAACAGAAAGTGCTCTCTGGCTGGATTTTCCATAGTACGTTATTTACTGCAATCTTAATGTCTTTCTGTGTGTCATTTAAATTCTATTGTCACACTTGGCTAATCTCATTTCTAAATGTATTGATGGTACTAGACTTGCTGTCCTTCATTTCTCTCTTTTTCTTCACCTTTTTTCTGCATTCTGTTCTTTTTTTTTTCTGCTCCCGACTGCCCTGCTTCAAGGTGGCAAGCATGCTCGAGAGATGTTCTATATTCTACAGACAGCTTGTGGGCAGAACTGTTCAACAGAAGGTACCCTTAGTGCAAACACATTTGCTAAAATACAGCTATCCAATCTGCCTTTTACAGGGTTTTTTTTTTTTTAAGCAAATTATATTACATCTTTCATAACTGCCTGTGACAGTCTCAAGTGCAGCCCACAGATTTCATACAATGCCTCTAACAACTATTGCATTACTCGAATCCACTGACCCCTTTGTTTGAAGTTTGATGGGGTTTGGATTTGGGGGAGGGGTTGTTTTGATTTACTTAATTTTTTTTTTCTCTGCTTTTGAGGTATATGGGCTTTTGGTTGTTCTGTTTTTATCATTCTGTAGGTTGGGTTATGTGATGGGGCCTTTTCCAATTGAGAAATAAATTAAAATTTATCCCAACACCTCTATTTTGCAGCAGTAGTCCCATTCATAGACCAGAAAGCTCCACCAAGAGGGTCCCTGGCTGCCTTCCACAAAAGGAAAGGCAGAAAATGGAACCTAGATATATAGCCAGTGAGAGCTTTCTACAAGAACAGAATAGAGAAAGCAGATGGAAGCGTGCAGGACAGACCTTGGGAGCCAACCTTTACATTCCTTGAAAGCAAGCAAGCAAGCACGGCAGGCTGCAAAAGGAGAGGGCAAAACAGCACCCCTGCCCCCCCCCCACACACATACACAGGCAGGGAGAGGTGGGGCAGGGCAAATAAGTGCCGAGGACCAGGAAACAAAACAGGCTGTAGCTCAGAGAGGAGAGCGGGGAGAGTGTGCCAGCCCCCGGACCTGACACTGGGTTGAGCTGGAGCTGACTTCCCACCGCTCTTTGTGGGAGGCCGGGAATCCAGAGACCCGGTCTGCAGGAATCATTTCCTTCCATATGTCCCTGCCTGGATCAGATGGGCAAGAACCTACCCCACTTCCCAGGAATGGCTGGATCTGGAGAAAGCATTTAGAACATTCCACATCTGTTTTAATGAGGCACAGAAAAAGAATGCCCCCTGGCCTCCAGTCAAACCTCTGTAGAAGGTCCTTTGAACTTCCCCAAAATGGGCGTGTTTTCTGCATATTTCATTTGCTGGAATGCCGGTAGAACATCTTTGTTTTACTTAGTTGGCATTAATCATACCATCCCTGTACGTGGCCATCCTCATTCCGAGCTTTCAATTCCTTCTTCATCTCTACTTAAGGCATTTGAAATGGAACCTCTTCTGATCCGTGAAAGATGTCTTTGAGTCTGTATCTTCTCAGTAGTTTTCAGCCCATTAAGTTTTTATCTGATGCAGCTTCTTTCTTAGCAAAACAAAGGTGGCACGTGTGCATCACCTCGTTGTCTGTGCTATGGCCTTGGTGGTTCCTTCACTGTCACTCCCGATCGGAGCCATCGAAAATGCATCTCACTTTCTACATATGTCCCTGGTGCCAGGCCTCCAGGGGCATGTGCAATAGTGATTTCTCCTAAATAGCCCAGGGGCGCCTGGGTGGCTCAGTTGGTCTAGTGTCCGACTCTTGGTTTTAGCTCAGGTTGTAATCTCAGGCTTGTGGGATTGAGCCCCACATTGGGCTCCGTGCACAGCGAAGAGTCTGCTTAAGAGTCTCTTCTCTCTCTGCCCCTCCCCCCATTCTCTTTCACTGTTTCTCTCTCTCTGAAATAAATAAATCTTTTAAACAATAAATAAATAGCCCAGAGAAGAGTACAGTCAAAACCCAGCAGGCAGCAGAGCACCTGGCATGCTGTCCTGAGCTATGTTGTCTCTCATCAGCCACCCGTTTATCTCCCTCCTCCCCTGACACTCCAGTTTGCAAGCTCCTCTACACCCAAAAGCACTGCTTCTCGCCCTTGTGTAATCCATGCATGCAGCCTCCTGCCCCATGGCACGGCCCACTACCATCCCCACCTGCCGCAGGACGCCCTCATTTGTACCCCACTTCAAAAATCCTCCAAGCACACTTTTCTCTGACATTCAGTCCAACCAGCCATTTGACCCCAGATATCCAAGCCAGTTTGCAATTCCTCAGCATTCCTGCATGCATGTGTGTGCATGTGTGTGTGTGTGTGTGTGATTGTGTGTAGATAAGCATGCCTGGTAATGCTGCATGTAACCTTACCTGCATGTTTTCATGTTAGCATTATTAGTGCTATTGTGTATTTTCATTTGTGTTGATCCAATCTCCATTCTTAATCTTTAAGGTCAAGGCCTTTGTCCCCTCATTCCTTCCTCCTGCCCATGCTTCTGTTGATTGCTTCAGGGTGAGTGGAATAAACAGTGGCAACCAATGGAGATGTTCCAGGCAGCCAATGCATTAACCCCACTAATGCCTCTTGAGACCAGCCCAGAGTCAGCACGACCTTCCACTGTATTCCCAGCCATAGCAACGATGGCACCTTTGACAAAATGAGAACTAGTCCAAGAAGAGGGGGGCAGTTTACAGATGACAACCCTCCCTGGATGGAATCCCTTTGGGCTGCTCCAAATATGTATCCAGGAATCATTATCAAAAACATAGCACCAGTTACCATGTTTCTCCACCTTCATGTTTCTAAGTGCTGCACTCTTCCTAATCCTCTCGGTGTCAGCGCATGGAGTAGTTCTCTTAAAGAAGACCTACAGCGTTGTCCCCCTAGTCTAGATGCTTCCATCACAGAGATTTCACTGTAGATCTGGTAACATCTTGCTGAGCTTCTCCTACAAATTGAACTTACTGGGCCCGATGCCCAAACAGAACGTGATTTTATTTCCACCCCCACATCTAGCCAACAACATCTTGAAACACCAATTCTGTTTCACCGCAGATGTTAAATCTTTTCCCCAGGTGCTGGGGTTGCTCTCAGGATCAATATGGTCCCCCTTCCACCAAATCCCCCTTTTGAGAATCCTTTCTAATTGAACAGTCATTTTTTTTTCAATCTGCTGACAATGTCTTTCCCCTTCTCTAAAAATCTATTGTTTTCTTTATCATATTCAGATGTTTCGTTCTCACTTTCAAGATTTCTTGCTTAGTTATCCTTGGCCATCCAGACTCTCCTCTCTCTTCCCTTTGGTAACTGAGCATCTTCCCTGGCCAAGCTAACTCAGAGGGAAAAGATAGGGAAACAGTGCTTCCCAATGCTTAAGAAACTTGGCAGTATATTATAGTCGAATGCTGGTGTATACCGTCGGCACGTATCTGAAATGAGATCTCAGGTTCAAGTTGCGGTCTTGCTTAGGTAAAGACTCTGCGACTCTTCCAAGGGAGTCAAGATTTTGTTGCATTTAGACACCTATACAGACATTCCAGGTTGCAGAGCTTATAGCATCCTGGCCTAGCACTTACAGTTTACAGATGCCATAACAAATGAATTCTCATTAAGTAAGCGGAAATAGTGTTTCTGCATGCTTTTTCCCCCAGGAGTATAGTCTCCTCATTTCCATATTTCCAGATCTACCTGATTCTTGTTTAACTGCGTTCCTTTTCCCCTCACCGTAATATAAATTCACAAAAACTGTGGCAAGCAAGATCTTGTTCCCAAGTCTGGACCCCTGTACCATGGATCTGCCAGTCACTTTCCTGTTCCTCCAAAGAACCACTGCTTACAATATTGTGTAGCGAGACCCTCTTCAAGCTTCTAGAAACAGAAGCCCGACTAGTAACCCAGTTAAGAAAGCTGTAATTAAAAGGAAACATAATAAAGTTCAGCTGTTCTGTGTTTAAACAGCCCAATGCACAGCATGTTCCTTCTCTGTGTTGAAAGGGAAAGAAAACGAAGGGAACAAAAATAACCCATAATCCTTTGTGGCTTTACCACATATCTTCACACTTCTCAGGAGACTATGGTTCAACCCAGCAGCTCCTTGATTTACATTCTTTTTAATGTGCACGCAATCTGGTTCGCAGCTCATTCCCCGTATCTTTATCCCAATGGCAAATATTTGTATTGTAAAGACCACCATTTATTACACACTTTAAACAATTCCTCTTTACCCAGGGTTTGATGGCAGACGCTGCCACCCACTTTTCTAGCTTTTTACCTGATACCTCCGTTACAAAAATGGTTTTTCTTGTAGATAGTAAGTACTTACAATATCTTTGCTTATTTTCCTTGAAAACAATTCTCTGATGGTGCAAGCTAGCACATAGGTCCAGCTCTAGCCGAAAGACCTGTCCATGTTGCAGGTATATAAAGATCACCTTGGCTTTTAGGTGCTCATAGGCTCCTACAGACTTTGGGGTCTGGGCTGCTTCTGTCGCATAAACTTACACCTGTCCTTCTCAAGCCTTGTTCCCAAGTGGAGCCATTCCTTAGGTTTGGATCAAGTGGGCAAGTGAAACTCTTTGGTAGCACTAGCAGCAGGCCTGGTCTCTGACTATAGATTGAGTCTTTTCTAATCAAGTGATCATATTTCCTTATCACAAAACTCTTACCCACCCTTCCTGAGAGAAGCCATGTCTGTGTACCATTTCTAACACACTTGCTTAACCATTAGAGTGGCATTTGCTCAAGGACATTCAACTGACATCAAATACTTAACTTCTCCTACTCTGCACTCTGTCACTAATTTGATCCCCCAAAGCCCTCCCTTTTCTCCATAGCGACAATACAGACCATAGAAGCACATCTGAAGAGGTTTCAGGGAAATAATAAAAAGCCTAAAAAGTACCTTGTACATCATTTTAAGAAAATGAATTTTTAACCAGATTCTAGAAGGGATTTTCCTTCCTACCACTGTTTCCTGACCTCTACCCAGCATCTCCTGCCTTCCATGTAAATATCCTTCTCAGCCACATGTTGTGCTTGCTTCATTCCAAGACAGAAAATTATTCATGATCAAACCATAATTGGTGTTTAGCATTTTTCCTTAAGTTTGATGTACATGCTGAACTTGAATGAACAGCTTGTGAACGACTCCCTTAATTCATTGAGATTCAGCAGCTCAGTGTTTTGGAAGCTTCTCACATAACACTTCCCCCTTGGTGACTACTAGATTTTGGTTGGTGTTTTTACAATTACACACAGAGTAGAACAGAATCATATGCTAGGGGAGGGGCCTGGAAGCTTCTCTAAAGGGGAAGCAGTGGGGTACTCGTCATTGGATCTCATTATGGAAACATGGTGACACTCTGTACCCTTCTTTAAAGAAAGACTTGACCAGATCATGATCCAGTGCCCTGCTGCCCAGCATATTCAATCAGTAGCTGCTGGCTTCAAGTATTTTCACTCTTGTCCCATCTTTGAAGCTTTTTAGGACATTCTCACTTGTTACGTTTAACTTTAGAATCTGATAGAAACCCAACCCTCCTCTTCTGCTCTTTGTTTACTCTATTACACCCATCTTGACCAAAAATGGTCACAGAGCAATGTCCCTGACATGAACTATCTGTTATGTGGGCTGTTCACAACCTTGCTTTTAACCATCTCTGCCGCACACCCCCGCAGCAACGCTCAGGCTGTGACTTTTCTAATTTCCCACTTTGTTGAAACTCCAACCAGCTCGGCGGTGTCCTCCCCTGTCCCCACCTTTTGTTTAGCCTAACGCTGTTGCCCTAGCACACTCTGGCTTTGCATGTTGTGTTACTGGCTCTGAGGAAGCACATCTTGTTTAAATGGAATGCTGCTAGCCAAAATGGACTCCATCCATTTGATAGTCTCACCCCAGATGAATTGGACGTGGTTTCCTATGAAATGAACTCACATTTCAGGCTAAAAGGGAGCCTGAGAAATGAGCCCTGGGGGAGAGATATGGAGTCGTTTATGAAATGGGATGCCTAAGTGGTAGGTTATTAAATTGCGTGAGGGTTGATGGTGAACTGCTGGTCTAGGTTCTGTGTCCCTTGTCAGAAATTCATTTTAAAACCGAGGGAGGATTTTGGGAACCTTGTTTCACATGAAATCTTGGTTTAACTAGGAGCACATGCCCTGGAAGCAACTATCAGAGGCTGCTCACCATACTGACAGACTGAGAGACACTTCACAGACTCTGTCTCTCAAACTCCTCTTGACCTGCTTTCCATTTGTCTATCTCCCCACCCCTAGTCCAGAGTATTGGAAACAGCAACAGTGGATGAGGGAGATACACACACACACACACACACACACACACACACAGGCAAGAAGAGAGAGCGCTCTAAAAAATCACAACCATAAAAGTAGCCAAAAAATATTTTTTCATATGAAAAATGACTAATAAGAAAACACAACCTATATGCCATTTGTAAAATATGTAAATTTTATGCCACTCGGTCCATGAAATGATTATGTATTTCAGCACAGGGCCCCGAGGAAAATGTGAGTCTCAGGCAGTGAGAGAGAGCACATAGGATTGCCCCATTTAAACAGGAACTGAAACTGGAAATCTTTGCTTGCACGTTCTCTACATTTTATTTTCATTCATCTTTAAACGGGAGCAAACCAAAGTTTTATAATTTGCATAATTTCTATTTTGCCTTGACCTACAAATTTCCACCTTCTGAAATAATTGACATTGAAAGAGGACGTTTTCCTATATCCTAAACCTGTCCGCACCCCCAAAAAATAGTGTTGTCATATTTAAGAAAGTGAATAATGCTTAAATGTGTTCTCATATTTAAGAAAGTGAATGCATAGGAAAGCATTCGAAAAATGATTTTAAATGTGATTTAAAATATGAAGTAACACCCAAAACAGCAAGGAAATGGCATTCTACCCTTCCACACAGGTCTGACGTCTTTTATGTTCTTTCTTTGAAACTTTCCATGGAAAAGTATGTACTTTGAATGTACCAGTTGATAGCAAATGATTTTTCTTTGCTTATTAGGATGGTGATTCAAGGTGCTTGAATCAGCCTAACATTTTATTCATGTAGTTATCAACCAGAAGCACTCCCTTTGAAAGAGACACGGTGACCTGAGGTTTGCTTCCCTATTCAGCCCGATTTCCTCTCCTTTCTCCTTCTCTTCTTCAAAAGATTTTTTTTTTTTTTTGGAGTTAACATTAAGTGCTCCACAGTAAATCAATTAAAGATATTAATTGGAAGATGAGTCTCTTTTTAGATCAAAATTTTGAAAAATATATCATCTCCAAGTAATTCTGTGGTCCCCCCGTATCTCCATAACTTTAATTAAATGTCAGGGGCAATTATGTTCTCTCTAGCAATTTAATAATCATAAGTGTACATGACAGCTGCAAGCAATAAGTATTTGAAATATATATGACCAGGTTGTTTTTTTTTTTTAAGTAAACCATATGATTTATTTTGTGTCACTGTACATCACATTCTACTAATTCAGGTAAAATTCTCCTTTCCCTTAAGTCATTCACTCATTTGTAATTGTAATATCATAGAAATTGTATATGGTATTGTTCACTGATCAGCAAAATGAAATGCAGAGTATGGTGAATGTAAGAGAAGCCAAGATTTCTTTTCTAAAATATGAAATTCAATAAACGCATTGCCCTATGTGCTGTGGCTAAATAAAATTACTATCCAAGAACAAAATTAATTGACATCATGGAATTTCAGACTAAAATAAATAGAGCTTGTGAACATGTACTGATATTTAATTAAAATCAGTCCAGCGTTTGTACCATTATCTTCTCTCCCCCTTAAAAGGAAAAAAAAAAAGCTTTCATTTTGGGAAAGATCATAAACCACATTTTAGTTCACAGAGATGGAAAGAGCTACGGTAATTTCAAAATAGCCTGTGTTGTCTTGGCACATTATTCACAGCTTGTGGGCTATACTTGGTCCAACAGAGGGGGAGGAAAGTTTTTTAAACTTTCATACTTATTGCTTTATGAGTGATGACACATAAACTGATGTGTTCTTCTACTTCCTTCCAGATTTCATTTTGTAACTCTCCCATAAACTTGCTACCTTTTTGGGAGAAAAATAATTCACACTGTCAAGATGGCAAAAAAGAATTTTTTTTTTTCTATAAACATCCCAACTTGCAGATACAGAATTTTTGATATGAAACTCAATTTTTTTTTTGCTTTTTCTTATTTTCTAGTATTTATACTTTTATTTCTGACATCTCTTAGAGGGAATCTGAACTTTACCAACCAAATGTTTACCATCAATCCTAGATTTAAGAGTGTCTACACATTTTTGTTAATTGGACTATTTGTTTACTTAGAATTTAATCTATTTTAGAAAAGCAGAAAGGTCTACAAATTATTAGCAGAAAAACCACAAGGGGTTGGAGGCCCTTAAGCTTTCTAAATATTTTACTGAGTCAGTTTATGCTTTACTCCTTTAACATTAGTGCTGAGATTTTTCTTTGCAATACATTCTTTTTTGTGACATTTGTTATGCATTTTAGAGGCTATGTTTGGAAATATAAATCAAGTTGGAAATAAAGAGGTCCCATTTAAGATGTACAAAATTGAGCCATAGGGATGCCTGTCAAAAAAGTATTTCTATATAAGAGCTCCCTTTAAAGCTATATGCTTCAATAGATGTAATAACTTCTCAGATATGCTAATTTCATGTTGTTTTTGTGAAATCATCAGGGGGGAATTTTGACAGCTCTTTTGACGCAGAGAAGGGTGTTGGGACCATTGTCATTGCAAAACCTTTGGATGCAGAACAGAGGTCCATCTATAATATGAGTGTGGAAGTCACCGATGGAACAAATGTTGCTGTCACTCAGGTAAGATGTCAAATTACTAAATGGTGAGAATGCCCAATGATCTGCTAATGTCAATGGTGCAAGTGATTAAAGAATGTGTTGGAAGTAGTAAATGATGTCCATGGATTTCTACTTTTTTTTTTTTTTAAGCATTTGAGAGAACAACCTAGGAAAAGGATTCTATCAATGATACTGTATAACTTAGCAGTGACTATTCATGCATGGAAGAGTGATATGTATTTGCTTCTTGATCATTGACCGTAGATTTATCTCTTTGACAACAAAGTCACCTTTCCTTGAATTTACAAAGAAGAGGATGTGTATATTGTCTGAGTCAACACAACATTATATTCTTCACCTTTTCACTTGTCAGTCTCAGAGTTAGAGCTAGACACACCCAGGAGTCCAAGTTCATTTCACAGACTCAGATAAGTGATATGTTCAAGGTCACACAGCCTTCATTAAGAACAGGGACTGAGATTTAGGTGCCCTGCATCCCGTCTCTCGTTCTAGCCTCTATGCCAGTGGTCCTTCATCCTGGCTGCACTGTGGAATCCCCTGGTCATGGGGCCTGTGGTGTTAAAACCACTGAAGCCTGGGCCCCACCAGCAGAGATCCTCCATGACTCTAACAAGCAGCCAGGGGTAAGGACCATTGCTTGGAGGTAGCAAGTTTATGGGAGAGTTACAAAATGAAATCTGGCATGTGAGTGTTGATGAAAGGGCACTGAGAGCAAGGACGAGGAGAAGATCTCTGGGTGAGACCAACAGGATTTACCCCAAATATGAGAAGATTTTTTTTGTTTTCTATTTTAGAACAGGCATACATGCCTGCCCTATACCTCTTTCATTCTCCCTACTTCTCTCTCCTGTCCTCACGACCCCAGAAGCCATCACTCATCAACCATGGTCTTTTTTCCTGCTCAGCCCAAATGTGCCCTGAGACTCCTCAACACAGTGGTTCAGGACGTGAAGATGAAATTGTTGCCAACCCCAAAGTTAGCAAGTGTCGATTTGTTTAAAATGTGATGTAAGCTCTTGTAACTATGTAGGCTTAAAAAGGAAAGAAGAGGATCGTTCATGTGCTGCCTCTTAGTTTGAAGTGGTTTCAAAAATACGATGAGATTTTCTCCTTTGAGGCTGTGCATAATCATAAAATGGTGGAATTTTAAAGAAACAGTAGGGTTTGTTTCTACTTTTACTTCTTTTCTTTTTGCCTTTGTTTACTTTACCTTTTCCTTTTCGTTCAAATAAACTGAATCCCAGAAGGGGGACATCATGTGCACGAGACACAGCAACCAGTGGTGTAATGACTCCTGATCCTTCAACCCGTGTCCTCTCCTAGGATGACTGACTATACAGCCATGACTACCTGTGAGAGGCCCATTTACACCTGTTGCGCCCGTGTAACTATTAGTAGTTGTCCCATTCACTCTTAAAATTGCCCCAGTTGGGACAATAAATTATTTGGCCACCCTACTTAAATCTGTACTGCTTCAGGGGACTTTCAAGACTAAAATACAGATGCCTAGAAAGGACACCATGGTTGAGATCCTATGGGACTCGCATGATCTAAAAGCAAGCCCCAAAGACTAATATAAAACAACACACTTGCTGTATTGCTAAGTCTCTATTGCTCTTTCACTTTTGGAGTTGGCCAGTTCTTAGCATAGCCAACCTCAACTTTTTGGCACCACTTAAAAACACGAGATGTAGTTGAGTAAAATACAAATAAAGCATGGAGCCATATTCATTTCCATACTTTTCTCCAGGGTTTTATAACAATTGAATGAAATGGTAAGTCAGTGTGCCCAGAATGTTATAGATGCACATGAAATATGTTTGCAGTGAGTGGATGAATAGTAGGTGGGACGTAGTCAGCAGGGCTTACGCGGCAGATATGCTGGATCTTCAAAGCACACGACTGATTTGTGTTAACCAAAAAAAAAAATTATCAATGAAACTTTTCTTTTAGACTTTCATTAGGACCAGATGAGAAATCATTTAACAGCATGTATTCCACAAGTATTTCTTGGGTTCATACCATGTGCTAGGAGCTATGCTAGATGCCTGAGGTCACAGGGATCCAGAGTTTTAAAACCAGATGACTGATACACACACACTCTTTAAAAGTTCACTTGGAAGCATATATTATAAGACTTTGAATGTACACATTGTTCAAGTCCTATTTTGGTTGATTTTATTTTGGACTAATGTACAGTTAGACTTATCTCCAGAGCAGATGGGAAGAGTGGGAGAATCAGGGTGAACTTGGAGGTTTCCTTTGGCAAGGCCAAGCTAAGTAGGTTAATGAAGGGTAGCAAGAGATTTTCTTGTCAAAAGCTTCCAAGTCGCTCTGTGTCTCCGGAGCCATGAGCTTCTCAAGAAGCGAGAACTAACCATTTCCAAACTATAAACGTGTGTGTTATTACCACCAGAACACCATCAGGCTGTGTTTGGGCCTGAATACCCACCCCCTGCCCCCAGCCTCTGTCAATCCAGGCCTCTGCTCACATTTGCCACAGCTCCGCTGACAACAAAGACAGAAGCAGTTCTCTCATTTAGTCAAAGCCCTCAGTATCAAGGACATTATTACAAAAAGATGTTTTGGTAAAGAAAAGGCATTCTAGGTTTCTTTTAGAAATCACTAAAGCATGCTCCAACCCATGACCCTAGGCAACTTAATGATTCTACCATCAAACAGATACCCTTCACCATATAACTAAATAAATGTTTTGTAGCCCAAAAACACCTGTTCAGTTTTCCTTTGGGAACTTTTCTCTACTTTGTTCCTTTGGAATCATAAAACATCTGACAAGGGCTTCAAATCAGCCAGAAACAACATGTTGAATTTCACTTCACAAATGTCAAATATATCAGAGCCTCGGGGATCTCAGTGTCTACATGAAAACCCTTCCTTCATCTTCATTTTTGTTCTGTTGTCCCAACTTGTAGGATTCTTGTGCCTCAGAGTTACAATATCTGGTGGCAAATAAACATCCTTTTCCTTACTGAGATTCCCTAGCATGAGTACAGAGTATAAAAAGTTTCTGCAGATTTCACGTTCTAAAGATTCAGATGTACTGAATGAGCATGTAAGCAGATGACTTTCTCCAGCTGGCGTAGGAAGAGAGGCAACAAAAAGGGATGTCAGAGAGTCCAAATGTGAGATGATTTGAAACCTTATTGCTAGTTCAGGTACAGCGGGGACAACATGGCAAGGAATGCAGGTAGCCTTGAGATGCTGAAAGGGGCTCCAGTTGACAGCCCGCAAGGAAACGGGGACCTCAGCCCTCTCACCTCAAGGAACTAAATTTGGTTAACAACCTGAATGAGCCTGGAGCTGACTCACCCCCAGAACTTCCAGAAGGGAACACATCCCCGCTAACCCCTTGATTTTGGCTTTGTGAGACTCTTAAGTAGAGAACACAAGTGAGCCGCACTGTACTCAAACTTCTGACTCACGGAGTTAGGCGATAACAAACGGGTGTTGTTTTAAACCAAGTTAGTGGTCATTTGTTATGTTAGAAATAGGAAACTGTTGTCCTCTTCATTTTACAGAAAAGGAAATTGAAACAAAGCGAGGTTATGTAACTTGAGTAGATCAGGGTTCAGAGGTAGTAAGCTGGATTCCAGAGCCTGCTGTCTCAGCCACTGTGCTGTGCCCCCCTCAAAAGCAAGGGTAAATCTAAGGCAGGAAGAGAACCCCACCTGGCTCTACTCGTTATGAAGGGGACACTCTTTAAGAGTGTTCCTAGGGAACATAGCGTCACCTGTGGCTATTAGAATGTCTCAGAGCCAGCTATACATGCTGGGGAGGAGCAAAATACCCCAGTGTCCTCAGAGCCTCTGCTCAGCCAGATGAGTTTATGCGCCACAAGGACACACATTACCAAGGATGAGAAATTACTGGTTTTAACAACTTTCCCCACACATCTATCAAACCCATATGAGCTACTGTGTCTTCATAGCAAATTTAAATAAATCTAGAGCATGGCTCTTCCAAAGGACCAATGGATGGAAATATAGAGTAATATATAATGCCTGATAGTTGCATAATGAGACTTAACCAAGCTTCTTTCTTGTTTTATTTTCCTGTCTTACTGAGAATAGCTAAATCAAGTATTAGCACTACACTCACTTTTCTAGTGAGAAATTGGCACACAGATGGGTTGGGTGGCCATCCTGGGTATATGCAGGTAAAGAGGTCCAAACCCACTTTTTCCTTCTCAAGATCAGATAGATTTCAGAAACTTTCCCCTATACATCTATATATATATATATATAGAATATATGATTCATTAGGGGAAGCATTTGGTATAAAGGAAGGAGGATTGACCTTGAATCACGTGACCCTAATTCAAGTCAGCACTTAACTGGTTCCTGTCTATGTTACCATGAAAGGTAGCTCTGTCTCTGTGAGACTCAACTTCTTCTGTAGAATGGGGATAACACCTTCCATACTTCCTGGGTTATTATAAGAATAAAATAAGATCTTTTGAGATATCTTGAGATCTGTGATGTGCTAGACACATGCAGCTTTTATTATTAGTCTCATCCTCAACTTAAAATTGGAATAATATACCTGATAACTATAAAATACTGTGTGTGTGCCTTTCACTGTTATTCATGAAAGACAGCAGAGATATTCCTGCCCAAATAAAAATCTAAAAATTACGTTGATTTGATTCAGGGACTCGTGATATGTGCTTTTGCGATTTCAGTATGCCTTTCTTATTCAGGTCTTGCTTTGATTTATAAAGATATGAAAATCAGCTTGCAGCCAAACCTGAGATTAAAAATCTCTTTCAGATAATCTCCAAAATTCTTCAGCCCCACAAAAGCAGTTAATTGAGTTAATGAGCCACAGAGGTTTTCTGCCAAAGTATGTGTATGCATGGGGGCTGAGAGGTCTGGGACCTGAATTCCTCAGGTTTGCTTTGCCCTCCCCAACCATGAGGATTCCATTCTTTTGTCTCTAAGGGATGTGTTGGGAGTTCCTAACTGGCCTCCTTCCTCAAA